GCGGTGGATAAAAGACAGCGGGAGCAGCCGCTCTGTCTGCTGCACTATGATTAGGAGGCGACTGTGTTTTTAACTGAGTAAACAAACATATATAATAATGACTTTTACATATAATAATAAACATTTCCACATATCATCTCCGACATGTCAGCTGTTTGGGATTCCCCTCTGTTCTTTCTGATTGGCTACCTGTCACATTCAGCAGGTTGTGTTCCCAGTCAGGGAAAACCCCACAGGCTGCGATAAGACAACCAAACTGGGCATATTCAGGATTTAGCAGGAACCAACAGTTAGAAGCCTTATCTGACGGTTCATGGTAACTCAGAAGTAACTCCAGCTGAGTTACTTCTGACCTTTGACCTTGTCAGCTGTGATTATTTTTGGGCTTCCTACGTTGAAGCCCTCTGCAGTTCCCTTGTTGCCATGGTGATAACCCCGTCCTGGCCTCAGGTGCGTGCAGTGATCGGACACACCTACATGCTGAACCAGGACGAGGAGCTGTGGGAGAAGGAACTTCCTGCCAACGTGGAGGCGCTGCTGGCGACCCGCCGCGACCCGCTGGCCGACCGCTCCAGTCACCGCGGCGGCGAGGATGGTCGGCCGAGGGACAAGACGCGCGTGGTGACCTTCAGGGTCCCCCACAACGCCGCCGTGCAGGTCTACGACTACCGGGAGAAGAAGGCCAGGTGAGGTGCCGCCCTTGGGGCGTTAGGCGGCAGCGGGCGAGGAATCGGCTGACGGCGGCGCCGTTTCTCCGCAGGGTGGTGTTCGGACCCGAGTTGGTGATGCTGGGGCCGGACGAGCAGTTCACCATTCTGTCGCTGTCCGGGGACAAACCCAAACGGGCCAACGTCATCAAGGCCATCTGCCTGCTGCTGGGGCCCGACTTCTGCACCGACATCATCATCATAGAAACGGCCGACCACGCCCGTCTGCAGCTGCAGCTGGCCTACAACTGGTAACCAGGCGCCAAGCAGAGAACATTTGTCCCGGTTCTGGTTCTGAAGTCGATCTCTGTCTTTCAGGCACTTTGACGTGAAGATCCCAGCAGAACCGGCCGCTGCTGCGGCGCTGTTCTCCGTCCCGGACTTCGTGGGCGACGCCTGTAAAGCCATCGCCTCTAAAATCCGAGGCGCCGTCGCCTCGGTCCAGTTTGACGACTTCCACAAGGTCAGAACCCGCTTCCACCTACAATCCTGTTTAACTGGGTCGGAACCAGAGATTAATCAACCGACAGTTACTGAAAAGGTTCTGGTTCCACTGGCGTTTTATTCCTATTAAGAGGACGTTTTCCTTCCCACTGTCACCTCATGCTTGATCGGGGGAGGGGCTTCTCAGGCTCAGACCAGCCCAGGCAGGTCCAGGTCCAATTCTGTAGTTTTTAGGTGAGGAAATGGAATGAAATTATTTTGAAGTCTCTTCAAAATAAGAGCATGAACGTAAATGTCTACTTGAAGTTTATAACCAAATCCAAATGTTTATTCAACTGATAGTTTACCAAAGAAACAAGAAATTTAGAATTCATCTGGGGAAGCTAGGCTCTAACCGACTACAAAGTTAGCAACCATTAGCTCCACTGCTGGCGCATTAGCAACCATTAGCTCCACTGCTGGCGCATTAGCAACCATTAGCTCCACTGCTGGCGCATTAGCAACCATTAGCTCCACTGCTGGCGCATTAGCAACCATTAGCTCTGTGTGTCCAGAACTCGAACCGGATCATCTGCTCGGCCGTGTTCGGCTTCGATGAGAAGCTGGCTGTGCGTCCCAACCTGCGCTTCGCCCAGAACAACCTGGTGATCAGCAGTGTGGACATCCAGTCTGTGGAGCCCGTGGACCAGAGGACCAGAGACGCCCTGCAGAAGAGCGTCCAGCTGGCCATTGAGATCACCACCAACTCCCAGGAGGCGGCGGCCCGGTCCGACACGCACCACGTCATCAGAACCCGCCGTGACGGGTCGGCCCCACTCATTGGGTTCCGTTTGTCCCTGCAGACACGAGGCGGAGCGCCTGGAGCAGGAGGCCAGGGGCAAGCTGGAGAGGCAGAAGATCACCGACCAGGCCGAGGCCGAGCGGGCCCGCAAGGAGCTGCTGGAGCTGGAGGCGCTGAGGTGGGTCAGCCTGGTTCGAACTGGCAGAACCGGTCCAGATGGCTGAGGTTCTCCTCTGACCGGCTCCCTGCTGTGTTTCAGCGCCTCGGTGGAGAGCACCGGAGCGGCCAAAGCCGAGGCCCAGTCCCAGGCCGAGGCGGCGCGGATCCGGGGTGAGGCCGCCGTCAACGAGGCCAAACTGAAAGCCGAAGCCCAGCGCATCGAGGCGGTACGCTCACACTTCTGGTTTCTGGTCGCTGCCGCGCTTCCTGTTTCTCATGCCAAGATCAGAGAACACTTCCTGTTTTTCGCCATGGCACTTCCTGTCATACCATTTCCTGTTTCAGTTCAACCCACTTTCTGTTTCTGATCTTCTGATAAGCAGCTCCAAAGGATGAAAATGGCTTCCTGCATGCTCTGGTCATTACAAGAGGCTCCAGTATTAAATGTCTCGCTCTTTGTGTCTCTTCCCGTCTTGCTGCCTCTCAGGAGGCGGAGCTCCAGCGGCTGTCTAAGGCGCGGGAACAGGAACTGGGCTACAAGAAGGAGCTGGACCGTCTGGAGGTGGAGAAGCAGGAGCGTCTGGCTCAGCTGGACAGTCAGCGCTTCAGGCAGATGATGGAGAGTCTGGGCAGCGACACGCTGAAGGAGATCGCCCGGGCCGGGCCAGAACTGCAGGTATGGTTCTGAAGCTGCAGGTGGGTCCGGAAGCGATCCGGTCATAGTCTGGTTCTGACCCGAGGCTCTGTGTTCCTCTGCAGGTGAAGATGCTGCAGTCTCTGGGTCTGAAGTCCACTCTGATCACTGACGGCTCGTCGCCCATCAACCTGTTCACCACCGCTAACGGCCTGCTGGGGGCGCTGCCCGGACCGGGCCCGGCCCAGTGAGCTCAGATACCGTCCGCTCGGACCATTAGTAAGTCCTGGAGATGCTCTGGACCAGACCGGTCCCAGTTTGGGTCAGAGGTTCCTGCTCTGAGCACCAGAACCGGTTCTGATGAATGAAGCGGTAAACTCTCCCTGGTTCTGTTTTCCAGGTGACGTGATTGGACCAACCGCCTTCTTCTTCCTGAGGAAACCCAACAGAACCGTTAGTGGGCCTGCTGCTGCTGAACCGGGGCTCCTGCTCCTGTTCTGGTTCTGCTGCATCAGAACCAGAACTAGCCGGGTTCTGATGATGTTCTGCCTTACAGCCAGCTGTCACTGCTCCGAAGGAATAAAAAACTGACATGTTTCAACTGGACTGGTTCGGTTTCACTGGCTTCGACAGCTAGCTCTGAGCTAACTAAATGTTTAGCTAGCTCATTAAATATTTAGTTGAAACTGACATTTATTAACGGTGAAAATGCAACTTTGAATAATAATAAGAAGATAAATAAAGTTAATTTTTGGCAGTAATGGCACCCCGTACCTTTCTGGCGCTGATATCAGTTTCTGGCCCTTTAAACTCCCACATGGTTTTTCTTCAGCAGTCGAGTCTTTCAGTGAATCTGCTGCTCGGACTCGGTCGGAACCGATCGGACCTACAGGCTGAGGTCGGTTTGTGATTGGCTGATGCTCCTAGCAGCCATGATGTGTCCAGCAGTGAGAAGCCTTCTGATTGGCTGTCGGTTCATGTTGAGTTCGGCTGCTTTCTCATTCCCGGTACCGATCCACATCTGAAGCGGATTGGTTCTGATCCAGTCCTCTTCGGTTTCTTTGTGGATGATCTGGTTGTGAACCTGACCAGAACCTCTCAGGTTCTCCCTCCTTCCTGTCCTTCAGAGGTTAAAGGTCACAGTGTGTCTCATTCTCCTCATCTGCCCTTTGCCCATTTTTATAGACTTTGGCAAAGTGTATTACCCACAATTCATTGCTGCATGTGACATGTTGAGTTACAAGGCGGATTTATGGCAATATTTTGTTTTTTCAT